CCCCTTATGTATTATACATGGTGATCATATCCCCCCTTATGTATTATACATGGAGATCATATCCCCCTTATGTATTATACATGGAGATCATATCCCCCCTTATGTATTATACATGGAGATCATATCCCCCTTATGTATTATACATGGAGATCATATCCCCCCTTATGTATTATACATGGAGATCATCTCCCCCCTTATGTATTATACATGGAGATCATATCCCCCTTATGTATTATACATGGAGATCATATCCCCCCTTATGTATTATACAAGGAGATCATATCATGTATTATACATGGAGATCATATCCCCCTTATGTATTATACATGGAGATCATATCCCCCCCTTATGTATTATACATGGAGATCATATCCCCCCTTATGTATTATACATGGAGATCATATCCCCCCTTATGTATTATACATGGAGATCATATCCCCCCTTATGTATTATACATGGAGATGATTATACATGGAGATCATCCCCCCCTTATGTATTATACATGGTGATCATATCCCCCCTTAATCTCCTCTTCTCAAGAGAGAATACATGCAGTTCCTCTAATCTCATAGCCGAGCTCCTCCATGCCTCGTATCAGTTTAATTGCCCTTCTCTGCACTTTCTCAAGTTCCCCAATGTTCTTCTCCAGACATTTTTGTGTTTATTAAAAGTCAGCAGCTACAAAAACTGTAGCTGCTGACTTTTAATATACACACTTACCTGTCCTGGGGTCCAGCGATGTGCTCACCTGCACTGTGCCTTCTTTCCTTCTTCTCTCCTTCTTTTTAAAATAGAAATAAAAAAAAAACAGCATGAAAATAATTTTTATATGGAGAAGGAGAAAAAAGAGTTACTTAGGGCTAAGTAGAGCAAATTATGGGTTATGAAGGGATTAAACAGATGAACGTTTTTTACTTGACAGGTTGCTTTTAACTGACATCATCTGCAGATCAAATTCAACCCTTTGATCTGTAGATGAAGAAACAGAAAGATACAAAATGAACAATGTTTCTTTTTATCTTTCTGGTTTAGTGGCTGAGCAAGGTTGTTGATAAACATTGTCAGGTTTTTTTTTTTACTGTTTCAATTGTTGGGATCTTCTCTGTGTATTTGGTAATGCAGCTGTCTTTAATGAGACCTGAATTGCTGTGTACTTGGACAGGGGGGTCCCAGAAGCAGGGCAGAAGGACTGGACGTACTACACATGTCCTGTGTACAATAGTGACATTTTTTTAGGCATGTATATTATTATTATTATTATACATTATTTTACATAGCGCCAAAAGGTTTGCTCAGCGCTGTACATTATAGTGGGGGACAGTACATGAGACAATACAGTAACAAAACAAAACACGAGGGGTTCAAGGGCCCTGCTCTTTTGAGTTTACAATCTAGGAGGGAGGGGATAGTGGTACAGGAGGAAGTGGCTGTGGGGGATGGAGTAGTAGGGGGAGTGTAGATCAACAATTAGGTGAGGCTTCCCTGAAGAGATAGGTTTTCAGGGTGCACCTAAAGGTGAGGAGGGAAGGTGACAGTCTGATGGATTGGGGTAGAGAGTTCCAGAGGATGGGGGAAGTCCTGGAGTCGGGCATGGGAGGTGGAGACCAGGGAGCTAGAAAGTAGGAGGTCTTGTGAGGAGCGAAGATTACGGGTAGGGTGGTATTTGGGTATCAGGTCGGTGAGGTAGTTTGGGGCAGCGTTATGAATGGCTTTGTATGTCTGTGTTAGTAGTTTGAATTTAATGCGTTGGGCAATCGGAAGCCAGTGGAGGGATTGGCAGAGGGGGGTGGTGGATACGGAGCGGTTAGCAAGGAGGGTGAGTCTGGCCACTGAGTTCAGGATAGACTGAATCGGGGATAGCCTGTGGTGAGGTAAACCGGTGAGGAGGGAGTTGCAGTAGTCGAGTCGTGAGATAATAAGGGAGTGAATGAGTTGTTTAGTAGTGTCTGGGGTTAGGAACAAACGTATTTTGGAGATGTTGCGGAGGTGGAGCCTGCATGAGTTTGCCAACGATTGGACATGGGGTTAGAAGGATAGGTTTGAGTCTAGAGTGACACCTAGGACTTTGGCTTGCGGAGTGAGAGAGATGGTGGCGTTGTTGGTCGTGATGGAGAGGGTGGGGTGGGGGGCACGGGCTGGAGGGAAAATTAGGAGCTCAGTTTTGGAAAGGTTCAATTTGAGTAAATGGAGCGACATAAAGTCTCATATGTCGTTCAGTAGGTGGGCGATACGGGCGGAGACTGAGGGGGTGAGGTGAGGGGTGGAGAGGTAAATTTGCGTGTCATCGGCGTAGAGGTGATAGTTGAAGCTGTGGGAGTGTATCAGCTTGCAACTGGTTAAACAAACCACTCAGGGCTGTATACATGCCCTGGCAAAAATGAAACCCCCTGTTGCATATGGCTGGCAGTACCGCTACTGAACTCAACCCATTCAAGCGAATGGGGGCCATTCTGCAACTATGTGCAAACATTCGTTACAGTGCAGTGCGTCAGCATTTTCAGGCTTAAAATAGGCAGTGAGGAGGAGAAATATCACTTCCTCGCCACCTGTCAAATTCTCTCTGAAAAGCAATCCACTGCCGATTACTTTTCACATGGGTGGCAAGAGTTACTGCAGATGAGAACAAGCACATTCAGTTTGTGAATGAACAGGAAGCCTATGTATAGAGCGCTCCTTTTCATTCATCTGCAGTGCAGCTGAGGCTTCGGAGAAAGGATTGGGGTTTTATGTCCTCAATTTCTTTCTAAAAAATGAGAAATCAGGAGTCTGTTTTAGACCCCTAATTCTTCACCAACAATCCACCCCTCAACAGTGCTATAAAACAAAATTGTAAAAAAATAATTTAAAAATTGTAAAAAAAATCATTAAAAAAACAAATGGCTCTTTCACACAGGTTATAAATGAATGATTTGCTCTGTGGCAACACATTGGCTGGATGAATACAGTTGCAGGTCCTTTTTTGACAGATGTGCAGCTGTGGGCAAGTGGCCCATGAATTCACACTGTCTGTGTTCAGGGCTGTAGACCAGCACTAACATGTCTGTCAAATTAGGACCTGCAATTGTGTTTGTAAAGCAGCTTCTTCCCTATAGCTTAACATAGACTGTCCGCACACAGCTCAAGCCACATGAAAAAAATGCTGATACACACTTCACAGGCCACTGAGCCAATGTGAATGAGCCCCAAGACCTCATTCACACACAGAGCTTTATATATTATTATAGTGTTATCTTTTAGATTGAGCAGGATTTTTGTTATGTTGTGTTTATGTCCTCTAATAATGACTTGTTAAACGCTATAACTTTCATGTAAACCAATTAACTTACACGTATTGGGATTTTTTTTTTAAGCAAAGACATGTAGCAGAATGCATTTTGGCCTAAATTTCTGACGAAATTAGATTTTTCAAATTTTTTTACTGGACATGTATTTTTAGCGATAATGTTGTTTTGATATTTTTGAGGAAGGGGAAAGGGGGCCATGATTTATAACAGTAGCCCTACATTGACCCACAGCCAACTTTGGGAAGACAGTACTGGACTCCATGAACACTTGTACCTTTTTAAAAGTCAGTAATTGTAGCTGCTGAATTAAACAAAATAAATAAATAATGCAAAAAAAAAAAAAGACAAAAAGTCCTTTTTTAATTGCAATTTAAAGGGATAAAAGGGGTTGAAAAGTTAAGCATTACTTAGAAATAAGTTGGGTGGTTTTTAATATATACATTTGACCTTGCATGTGAAATCACCCAAGTACTGTATTACTTCTTGTAGACTCAGTTAGCATTGATTGAATGTGCTTAGCTTTGCCTCCATTACTTGTTAATCATCGAACCATACTAGACTGACTTAATTATAACAGATCAGAGTATACTTTTCACCTTAATTTGTATTTATTTCTAGGTATGCTGCATTATATATAGTTAAATTGTTAGTCCCACAAGGGTTCTCCTGTGAAATTAAAGAGGATGTAACTAAGAGTAATGAAAAAAAGTTTATCACCTACTTAACTCTAAAAGACACTAGGTGAGCTCTCCAAGGCAATCATCATATTTGAATAGAAAAAAATTGAATTTGTTTTTTTTATGGCCATCAAGACTATTTTTATTATTATTATACAGTATTTGTTATTATTATTATTATTATTATACAGGATTTATATAGCGCCAACAGTTTGCTCAGCACTTTACAAAATGAAGGTAGACATTACAGTTACAATACAATTTGGTACAAGAGGTACGTTTTGTCTTGAGTCCTGACCTGTAGATTTGAAGGTTTCATCATATACAATGTATACTTTGTATGCTTTCTTTATGCTGCTTCAGTTTGAAAATCATTGGGAAATTATTTTAACATATCACGGCATACTTGCCCTCCTAAGGATTTACCCTCCTTCTTGACCAGGCCATTTGCGATACAGTGCTGCATTATTTTAACTCACAATTGCGCGGTCATGCACAGGGGCGGACTGACAACTCATGGGGCCCCCGGGCAATAGGGGATCATGGGGCCCCTGTGTTCTTGCCCAAACTGAAAAAAGCCTATGAAAAAGGTACCAGGGGCATCTCATGGGGCACCATACTAACCCCGGACCCTCGGGCAGTGCCCGAGTTGCCAAATGATCAGTCTGCCCCTGCTGCAATGCTGTACATAAATGAAACTTATGTCCTTTTTTTCCAACAAATAGAGCTTTCTTTTGGTGGTATTTGATCACCTCTGTGTTTTTTTTATTTTTTGTGATATAAACAAAAAAAACACCGACAATTTTGAAGAAAAAACAATATTTTTGACTTTTTGCTATTAAACATGTCCAGTAAAAAAAATTTGAAAAATCTAATTTCTTCAGAAATTTAGGCCAAAATGTATTCTTCTACATGTCTTTGCTTAAAAAAAAAATCCCAATACGTGAAAGTTAATTTGTTTACGTGAAAGTTATAGCGTTTAACAATGGGGGTATATATACTGGAATTTTTTTTTTTTTTTTGCTAGTAATGGCGGTGATCAGCAACTTATAGCGGGACTGCGGTGGGCATTCTGACACTGGGGGGAACTAACTTGGTGCCATTGACATCCCCAGTGACACCAATACAGTGATCAGTGCTAATAAAAAGCACTGACACTGTACTAATGGCACTGGGCAGGAAGGGGTTAACATCTGGGGCGATCAAAGGGTTAACTGTGTGCTGTGTGTGTTTTACCATGTGTGCTGTGTCTGTGCTTTCCAGTGTAAGCACACTGCTTTGTATGGCTCTGCTATGCAGAGCCATACAAAGCAGTGTGCAGGAGCTGACAGAGGAGAAAACTGTATTGTTTACATACAGTTCTCTCCCCCATTGGTAATACTCAGAGATCACCAGGTGCCAGCAAGTAATCACCGGCCAGGACCTGGTGATTGACAGCCGAAGCCTCGAATAGCAACACAGGTGCAAAATCATGTACATATATATACATGATTTTGTGCACCCCTGCCACCCTGTAGCAGTATTTCTGCTATAGGTTGACGGGAAAGTGGTTAATGGAGATGAGGAGAGGGGGAGGTGTTCTGTAGTCTATAGACGGAGAGCTCAGGAATAGAGCTGATTGTTTGGGGGTTTAGTGCAGCTGTCAGCTCAAACAGCAAATTAGGAGTTTGCTGGATTTTGTGGCAGATTAACAGTTCATTTTCTGTACTTACAGAATTTTAAAAGGGATAAACCATAGAGAAATGTGTAAAAATATGTACTGAATCTTTTTTTTTTTTTTTTTTTTTTTTCATTTTGCCTGTTCATGTACTTTAAAAGATAAATGTTTCATATTAAAAACAATCAGATTTTTTTTTATGTATTTTCTGTTTTCAGGTATTTGTTCTGAATTTATTGACAGAAGCACTTTAAGCTCTGCCTATGAAAATTGTAGCAGGTACTTAAACTCATTTTAAATCTCTAAATTATCAGTAATAATCTACTCAGGGCTAAATCAAATCTCTGACGTTATGTGCAATGATTTTCTTCCACAATCAATATCGTGTTGTTTTCCTAGTCGCAGCTCAGATTGTGTGCCTTGCTCGCAATGTAGAGGCGTCTGCACACTTCTATTGCTGAATTTAGCCTTGTTATAATCTGTTTACCATTACAATCTCTTCGAGTAATTGGGCCAACTAAATTGATTGACTGTCTCTGATTCTCAGAAGACTGCTTTTCATGGCTTGTCTGAGCTAAGTGTTGACCTATTAGGCTGTAATAAAACTTTATCAGCAAATAATTTGAAAATGCTTTTTATCAGAATATACGCTGAAGTTTTACATTACCGAATTCAGTTCAGATTTTCATACACTGTTTGGACCAGATTTAAGGACTACTGACTCAGTGGAGTAAAACTCCACTTAAAAAATATTATACTGTAACATTTTAGGTAGGTGTGAAGAAATGCTGTAAAGTAAGAATGCTTTCAAAAATGCATATTTTAACTGTTTATTTTTTATCAATTTACAAAATGCAAAGTGAGCAAATGGAAGAAAAATCTAAATCAGATCAATATTTAGTGTGACCACCCTTTGGCTTCAAACCAGTTCTTACACTTGATGTAAGGGATTTCCGGCAAGAAGAATCGCGATCGGAAATGCGCATAGGAATTCCCGCAGGAGAATTGTCGGTTGTGCGCATGCGCGCAGGAATGCACAATCTCGGGGTCAGGGCTAGTGACACAAGTGAGGCCGACCTCGTCATTTCAGTCTCCCATCAGGTACGTGACACTTGCACACTTTGTACACTTGCACACCTTCAGGGATTTTGTAGGAATAATCAGGTGTATGATTAACCAATTATACCAAGCAGGTGCTAATGATCATCAATTTCATTTGTAGGTCCAAACACAGTCATTAAGTGAAACAGAAAAAGCTGTGTAGGAGGCTTAAATCTGGGTGAGGAACAGCCAAGCTCTGCTACTAAGGTGAGGTTGTGAAAGAGTTTCATGTTGCAGGTCATACATTATGGCAAGACTGAGCACAGCAACAAGACACTAGGTAGTTTTATTGTATCAGCAAGGTCTCTCCCAGGCAAAAAAAATTTCATTTGAGGACCGCAGATGCAGAGGTCAGTCAAGGAAACTTAATGCAGCAGATGAAAGATACATCATGCTTACTTTGCTTTGACATCAGAAGATGTCCAGCAGTGCCATCTGCACAGAACTGGCAGAAACCAGTGGGACCAGGGGCGGACTGACAACTCATGGGGCCCCCGGGCAATAGGGGATCATGGGGCCCCTGTGTCCTTGCCCAAACTCAAAAAGGCCTATGAAAAAGGTACCAGGGGCATCTCATGGGGCCCCCTACTGACCCCGGGCCCTCGGGAGTGCCCCAGTTTCCAAATGGTCAGTCCGTCCCTGCTTATTGGTCACTCTCTTTAATTCCAGTTTTACTCCAGTGTTCATTGCTACAATGCTCAAAAAATGAAGAGGTTACTAAAGTTGGTTGAAGAGGTTACTAAAAATACAAAAATTCTTGGACCTTCGGAAGTGATGTGATGTATTGTATTGTATTGTATCATTTCGTTTTCCTGAGCATGGTCCTTTTTTTCTTTACAAAATTGTACTGATTACATGAACATTGTTCGCTCTGGCCCCCTACTGACCCCGGGCCCTCGGGCAGTGCCCGAGTTTCCAAATGGTCAGTCCGCCCCTGAGTGGGACCCAGGTACCCCCATCTACTTTCCAAAAAATCTGGCCAGAAGTGGTCTTCATGGTAGAATTTCAGCCAATAAGCCATACCCCTGATGTGAAAACAAAGCAAAGTGACTCAACTATTGCACAAAAACATAGGAACTGGGGCACAGAAAAAATGGAAGCAGGTGCTCTGGACTGATGAGTCAAAATCCTAAATAATTAGCTGTCACAGGAGGCAGAGGTTTGCAAAAGGGCTGGAGAGTGGCGCAATAATGAATGTCTGTAGGAAACAGCATGGTGGAGGTTCCTTGCAAGTTTGGGGCTTTTTATTTCTGCAAATTAAGTTGGAGATTTGGTCAGGATCAATCGTGTCCTCAATGCTGAGAAATACAGGCAGATACTCATCATGCAATACCATTAGGGAGGCACAAGACTGGCCCAGGGGCGGACTGACCATTTGGAAACTCAGGCACTGCCCGAGGGCTCGGGGTCAGTAGGGGGCCCCATGAGATGCCCCTGGTACCTTTTTCATAGGCTTTTTTGAGTTTGGGCAAGGACACAGGGACCCCATGATCCCCTATTGCCCGGGGGCCCCATGAGTTGTCAGTCCGCCCCCGGACTGGCCCCAAATTTATTCTGCAGTAGGACAATGACCCCAGGTCCCATCAGTTCAGTTCACCTGCTGAGCTTGCTGACACTGATCCTCTTGTGGCTCCCCCGGCAGCACTGCTGGCTTCTCCTCCTCTCCCTCCGGTTTGCGCTACAGGGAGATCCGTTCAATTTCTGTGCCCCAACCTTCCTGTTGTTTGTGTGTCCCCCTTGTGTGCCCTTTGTCTGGCAGCGCTGCCAGATTCCCTCCTCTCCTCCTGGCAGCTGCTGGGGGCACACAGGGGGATCATTTCACAATGGAGAACGGGCTGGGGGGCATTAAATATGTACTATTTACCAGCTTCTTCCTTTCATGAATGAATTTATTCCCACACTAGCACACTGCAACCATGAGCTTTGCAGGAAGTTGCAGGGAGTGCTGCTTATTCACTTGAAGGGGTCTTGTTCAAAGGGGCTATAATTACTGCCATGGCTGCAAAGCAGGGGCAGATCCTGTCAGGTAGGCTGTACAGGTCCCCATGATTTCTAATAGCAGCCCTGCCTGGCATAGACAACTGAACCTTAGCATCGGTGTCGGACTTCTACTTTATAGAGAAAAGTACATGAAACACAGATCCAGCACTGTATCAGGACCTTCCACCCTTTCACAAAAAATCCCATCAGCAAACAGCTCTTTATGTTGATAATAATTCATATTTCATTAGTTAGACCAGCATTTCTCAACCTTTTCAACACAGAGGAACCCTTGAAATAACTTTCCAGTCCCAGGGAACCTCTGCTAAAAATTCTGATGTCTACAACTCATGATCCATTAGTGTGATGATCAGTGGGAAGAATGCTCCTTACACTTGGGGTCATTGGGAAGAATTCCCTCCTTACAGATTTCTAAAAAGATCGATGGTGTCAGTGGGAACTTATCTGAGAGGCAGAAATTGCTCATTGCTCAAGGAACCCCTAGCAACCTCTGGAGGAACCCTGGTTGAGAAACACTGAGTTAGACAAAAATGTTTTTGCTTTTACTTACAATTACTGTACTTATTTATTTATTTACAAACCACATTGTTCAACACTTGCTGGCCAGGGAGGTGGAAGAACTTTAGAATTGACACCAAAGACCTAAAATAGGACATTTTAATATACTGTACATAACATTCCAAAAAAAAATCTGTTGATGCTGAAAAATGCTAGCTCTCTGTTTAGTACATTAGGAGCTAAGTCCCTGCCCTGCTGTCTCTTCCTCAATAACTTCTGTCCACAGCATTGATCCCTAATAAACAATTGAGTGAGTTCACCTTTGGAAACATGTTACATGTTCCACCCGTTTTCAGGGTGCAACATGTAACATGTTCTCACTGCTGTAGCCTCTCCCCGACCCATTGCCTTTAGTGACAGCGAGCCGGGGATCCTCTCCCCAAAATCTCTGTCACACTTTTTTTAGACTGTGGCCATGCGGGGCATCGCCCCCCCGGCCACATCATTCATTCACAGAGTTCTGTGAATGGGTGAACTACAAGTACAAGTCTCAATGAACTACCAGGGCACTATTGAGCACTCTAGGTAGTGTGATTGTGTAACTGCCTGCCTGTATGAGGCATAGACAGAAAGTTACACTGACAATCTACAGGAGTCCTGCATTGCACCCGTGAACAGCTGATCGTGGGTGCAATGCTTTGCAGGCTCCTAGTAAAAAACATAATAAATGCACATTTTTATATGTGCAAAAAGTTGTGCATTTATAATTTTTTTTTACAAAGCTGAACTTACGTATCCATTAATCAGCAGGTTGGGGACTGCATTGATCCCTAATAGTGCACTGACTACACTGACAGTTCTGCTATCTGTCCTTGATTTTGACATACTTTATGTTAATAAGAAAAATTAATAATAGCACCTATGGTCAAAATTATATAACTTACTAATAGTGTACCAGCTGCAAAAAATCACCATATATAAAGTGTACCAATAAATAAATAATTTGCGCTAGTAAATGTGTATAAAAAGAAATCATCAAATCATAAGTCCAGAAAAAATATATATATGCCAATACCACAAAAAAAATAAAAAAACTTTTAAGTGCAAAAAAAACTTTGTGCAAAAAAAAGTGTCTAAATATGAAAAAATGTTCACCAAAAAACCTTGATAATATAATGGCAGATCATTCATAAATAT